TATTTACCTTCACTTTGTTCCAAACCTGTATGAATGTCTTTCTTCTGTGGACAATGAAAGGAGATGTGCTTACAATTAAAAATCATACAACAAACAAATGAATGGTAATGTACACTCTCAAGCTAAAAGACAAAACATACCATAAAAGTATCATACAGATAGTTCATATGACACTTAGAAACATATTTTGTTAATTGAAATAAAGCTGAAATAAAATAAAACAAGACAAAATGTCAAATGTTAAAAATAACATTTGTATACATATCAAATATATAAATATGTTAACTTTAAAAATGTTAAATGTTGCCTTGGCAAGTCACTGAAAGCATTTTAAACCGAACTAAACGTAAATGAATAAAAAGTAAAACTGGTATAAAACTGAAATATAAATAAATTATATCTATGAAATTATATGCATATGAATACCACAGCTTTCAAATCTCATGTATATATATATATATATATATATTTATTTATTTTTTTCAGGATTCTATGAATAGAAAGTTTAATCCTTGTTGAACAAAAGTATTGATTTCATAAAAAAATGTCCTTGTTGTCAATTTTAAAGGTAAGTAAATGATGACAGAATCATTTTCAGGTGAACTATTGCTTTAAATGCTCATTAAACACACACACACACACACACACACACATATACACACACACACACTGCATTAACCTCTTAGTTTATCTCCAGCACTGAGGGAGAGAGAACAGGATTAGAACATTGTGAGAAATTGGTTTCAGGTCCTTGTCTCTGCAGTGTGATTATTAAAGGGTTAGTTCACCCAAAAATGAAAATTAGTGAAAAGTGAAAAAAAAAAAAGTGTATTACGTTTGAAATATGGATATTTTTCTGATAAAATTGCATGGATTCGCTACAGGAGGCCTTCATTCATCCCCCGGAGCCGTGTGAGGCACGTTTTATTACAGATGCGCGTGCTTTATTTAACGTGTTTTGGATTGCTAAACAGAAACACCCTCCCACTACAATGATAGAGCTTAGAAGAGCCAGGACCATTTTTAATATAACTCCGATTAGATTTGTCTGAAAGAAAAAAGTCATATACACATAGGATGACTTGAGGGTGAGTAAAACACAGGCTAATTTTCATTTTTGGGTGAACTAACCCTTTAACACACACACACACGCAAACAGCTGCTCTCGTCTCACTAGGAGGGATTCCCTGGCATTCAGTGTCAGGCTGAAGTGTGTGTGTGTGTGTGTTTTACCCCAGAGCAGAGCTGTTGCGCGCTGGAGACATGAGTTGAGATTCCTGTAAGGTTAATGTCACTTCCAAGTCCTTTTATAGTTATTATCAGGAGTCATTTGAATCAGTTCTCTGATGACACGTGGAGCAAAAACATCCAGACTACTCCACTGAAACAGAGAAACACCAACACACGCATTTAAAAACATGCTGCACTACAACAACATTTTTAGGGAATTAATTAGACCATTTTTACATGTTTTTGAAAGAAGCCCCTCCAGGTCACTAAGGCTGCATTTATTGGATAAAAAAATACAGTAAAATGCAGTAATATTCTGATGTATTATTAGAATTTAAAATAACTATTTTCTATTTGAATATATTATAAAATGTAATTTATTCCTGCATCATTTTCAGCATCATTGAAGTCTTCAGTATCACATGATATTTCAGAAATCATTCTAATATGTGACCCTGGAGCACAAAAGCAGTCTTAAGTCGCTGGGGTATATTTGTAGCAATAGCCAACAATACATTGTATGGGTCAAAATGATCCATTTTTCTTTTATGCCAATAACCATTAGGATATTAAGTAAAGATTATGCTCGCTGAGGATATTTTGTAAATTTCCTACCGTAGATATATCAAAACTTAATTTTTGATTATTAATATGCATTGCTAAGAACTTCATTTGGACAAGTTTAAAGGCGATTTTCTCACTATTTAGATTTTTTTGCACCCTCTGATTCCAGATTTTCAAACAGTTGTATCTCAACCAAATATTATCCTATCCTAACAAACCATAATAATCAATGGACAGCTTATGTATTTCAGATGATGTACAAATGTCAATTTCGAAAGATTGACCCTTATGTCTGGTTTTGTGGTCCAGGGTCACATATTCATCAATGAAAAGCTTATTTATTCAACTTTCAGGTGATGTATATCAATTAGAAAATTTGAAAGGTTGAATCGACGCTTATGACTGGTTTTGTGGTCCAGGGTCACATATGATGATTTGCTGCTCAAGAAACATTTATGATTATTTTCAATGTTGAAAACAATTTTAAATCAATTTGCTTGATTTTCATTTCTAATTTCATTAATAATTCCCACTAATAATTTTAAGCTTTGTGTTAGTTCACTAAGATATGAAATAGTTCACTAATGAACACACACAGACGTGTTTCAGGAGATAAATGTGACTGTAATCCACACTAACATGATCTTCTGTACATAATCACATTCACCTTTCTGTCGCTTATCTTTGTCCTTGATAGACGTTGAAGAGAAGTATCTAATCTGTGACGATAAAGACTTACATCACATGCTTTTTAGTAGCAAGCCTAGAGTTAAGTGTCAGTTTAAGGGTTATTTCATCCATTTAAAAAAATCTGCTGTCATTTACTTAGTTTCAAACCTGTATGACGTAATTTCTTTCATACAGCTTCAAAACTGACTTTTAAGCTTCAAAAATGACACAAACGCACCCTAAAATAGTCCATATGACTCATGCAATTTATTACTTTACCTATGATAATAAAAGTAGATCTGTTGTTGTTATAGTTCATGTAAAAAAGCAATAGAAGACTATGGTCCCTGTCTGCAGTACTTGTGCGCCCCCTTCTGCTCTGACTGTGAACTACATGGCTAGTTATTAAAACGGTGGCAATAACACCAGAGTGTTCAGTGACCAGAGGCAACGAACCAGGAACCAAAACCACTCACAGCATATAATCATCGTGACGAAGTGCACAAATCAAGTACTTGAGTAAAAGTACAGATCCGTATAGTAACATATTACTCCAGTAAAAGTACTCAGTTTTCAATTGAGTGAAAGTACAAAAGTACTTGATTTTTTTATGTACTTAAGTAAAAAGTACCGATAGATGATTGTTTATTTTGCAGTTTTATATAGGCTACTTGTATCATTTAATTTTATATTAGCATATATATATATATTATAATCCTACTGCTCAAAATACCTGGGATTTTCCCAAAATAGCCAATAAGGAAATAATGAATATAATAAGGAAAATATAATTAGATTTTCATAATGATTGTGTTCTTCTCAAACCTTGTCTGTGGTGTAAAAACACCCCTGGCCAAATGCCCCCAGAGGGCATCACTACCCACTTTGATAATTACTGTAGTTAGCATGTTCTCAACATCACATCCTTTCTTTTTCCCTTAGATGTAATCTATCTAGGTGGTTGAATAAAAATATTTGGACTTTATTTAAAAAAAAATACCTAAATTTAGCACCAGCAAGCTCGTTAGCTAGACTAATTATTGATTTATTTTCAGCATGGTTATGAATAAACATTTATATTTGTCTACTCGGCTAGTTGATCCAGATACATAGTAACTTAGGTTATGTGTGCTGACAAACAATATAAATACAGACGTCACTTAGTGCTAAATGCATAGCATTTTAGTAAAACTGCTAACTTTATAGCAGCGGGGAAGATGAACGTGCATGAGTTATTTTATTTAAAGCTGCAGTCCGTAACTTTCTAGGAGAAACCGCTCTCTTCCCCCGGACATATGGAAGAGGTCATCTGCCGCCTAACGGAGCTCTCAGCCCGCCAGCAGCAGTTTACAGAGCAACTGGCCGCCCGGCAGGAGTATACTGACCGGGTCGTGGAACTTATAATAATGTTTTCTAATTTGAGTGTTACGGGTAGGTTTTCGCGGGAAATTTGAGCATGCCGTTGTGTCATTACGTCACTTCTGTAAACATAAAGAAGTTGTCCTGGCTGCTAGGCTATCGCATGTGAGGATCCTGCAGGCTTCTGCCGCCTAACGGAGCTCTCAGCCCGCCAGCAGCAGTTTACAGAGCAACTGGCCGCCCGGCAGGAGTATACTGACCGGGTCGTGGAACAGCTGCAGGCCAGCGTGGCGGGGCGCCTACCCCTCCCGACTTGACGGATGAGCCAATGCCCATGGAACCCCCGGCCCCGACGGCCCGGGCCTAGATGGTGGGGTGTTTCCTGCACAGGACAGTGAGGATCCTGCAGGCTGATCGTTAGCCTTTTCTCACAGCAGCTAGAATAATTAAATGTCAAAAAAGTATTTTGATGGCGGATCGTAATCCAGAAAGGATTATATGAAACACATGTTAATGAAATTAAGTTATATGTGCTTCTGACATTTCAAAAACATTTTCACAATTTCTCACTGTATATGTGTGTGCATATATATATATATATATA